GACAACAACTGCGCTGATGCTGACAGCTTGAAAATGTCTCGTGATAATTGTACTCAGCAGGAGAACCACTCAAATGAGACAGCTTGCCTAGCAAACACTGATACTGGTGTTGTATATGGTCGGTTTACGAGGGCATGGGTGGATACTGATACAATCTGCATTGATGGTGTCAAGGATCCTCTAGCCATTGAGAGGTGGCAGGCACAGGCAATGGAAGCTGATAAAGAATTCTACAGTCGGATACGCATACCTGATGAAGATGATTCAAGTAGTCAGAAGCAGACATGCCGTAGTTCTGCCTCACAGGGTGCCGATAGCAAACCTGCATCTGAGCGGCAATCAAGAGGTGTGGAGCATATAAAACAGGGTCTCGTGAATTTTATAGCCTCGCTGCTGATGCCATTATATAGAGGAAAAAAGATCGACCGAGAGGGGTACAAATCAATCATGCGCAAATCTGTTAACAAGGTATTATACCATGTATATGTAGATATGTTTTAAAAATGTCTTTTGATTTTTGGGTTGACAACTTGAAAACTTAGTTTGGTAGTGGTAGTTGGTTCATACTTTAAAAGTGTTCATTTTCCACATAATGCTGCATGTGTTGCCCTATTCTCTTTTAGTGTTATTTCCACCATCCTTCTGCGATCTATTGAGCATTGTTGCCTGGTGAATTTAGGTGATGATAGTAATAATACTGACAGTAGTCTCTGTTTTCTCTTGCCTCAACAGATCATTGATACATGCTCAGAAGGAGAGAAATCGATGACTACTCTTGAGTTTCTTGATGCTAAAAGGAAAAATAAGGTACAGCAGTGTTCACTTACCAAAGTTTTATAGTTCTATCCAGACCCTTGCTAATACTGCGTAGCTCTCTATCAATGATGAGCATTATTCTGTTGACTTCTGCCTTATGGCTTGGGCTTCTGGCCACAGGAGGAGCCATTCTGCACCGTGATAATGTCTTCTGATAATTCTTTTACATTAATTGGAATAATGTTATGTGTTTTAACTCATGGTGTTTACCATCCATGCAGATTGAATCCTTTGTGAACAAAATGGTTGACAAGCATTTGCATGTTGTTAGCAAGTCTGCCAAACCTTAAGATTCACATGTGTAGTGAGGTGTTTTGTGCAAAGGAATCTACTCTCTTTTAAAACACCAAGCTATCAATCAGTGATTGCTGATCCAAGTGAACTAAAACCTCACTTCAGAAGCCAGCGTGGCTCATCAGTGTCGCCACAAGATCAGCAAGGGCACCTATTACCCAGACTATAAGCGTGGTCCAGAAGAGCATTGACCAGATCAACACCATGTAATTCTGTACTTAGATAGGCATCATTTCCATCATCGTAACTATAGGTCAATCAAAGGTTTAGACCTCTGTGCACTCGACAAGCATGTTGTGCATGCAGTAAGCTTGGATGCCAAGTTAAGTTTCTGTGGCTTGATGAAGTGGCATATGAAGATCCTGGATTCAGCGTGGTCTCATATGCAATGAGGGCTTTTGCGCCTTTCATGGCGGTAGTCGAGTCTAGCCTAGCGGATTAATCCTGTTCGTTGTTCAGAGTTAACTTCACCAAAGTAGATCCTCTTCTCTCTTTGTTGTACAGTTTTGCAGTTTCTAACAAGCGTTTAACTTATAGAAAGGCTGCAGTTTGGCAGAGATGTGCAGCCCTTGTATATCCTTGATTGCTTATAATGAGCCCCCTTGATGATTCTCGAATGCTAAATGATTGCCCCTAAAAAGATGTTTTGCCCCGAAGTTCCCCAGTTGATTTGTCTCTCCATATGTTATAATTGCATGATATGATTGATTTTCATTCGACTCTCCCAGCTGATTGAAGTTTTTCCAGAATCTTTGCATGGAGTCAAGGGAGACAGAAGTCTGTCTATTCAGTACACACTGCCGTTTTGTATTACTTTTTGACCTTCCAGTATATTTCATGTTTTCTTTTATATACTAAGGCATCATGTTTCTATTCTTTTTGTATCATGTATCTGGAGCTCTGACTGTAGAACTTTACTTTCTCCTCTTGGATGTGCTTCAGATGTGCAAGTTCAGGGTGTTTACTACTCCCTTCGTTTCAAATTATAAGATGTTTTGGTCTTTCTCGATACATTGTTTTTACTATGCATATCGACACACTGTATATCTAAGTGCATAGCAAAAGCTATGAATCTAGAAAAGGCAAAACGTCATATAACTTGGAATGGAGGGAGCAGTACAATGCATCAGGTTTCAGTAACTACATGACATGTTTGTTTCTCAAATATGTTTCGGATGTTTTCCCATGCCAAGTATTGCTCTTTGTTTTTTCTTGAGACCCTGTAAAGCTCTTTATTTTTTTTTCTTGAGACCCTGTAAAGCTCTTTGTTTTTTTTCTTTTCTTGAGACCCTGTAAAGCTCTTTTTTTTTTTTTCTTGAGACTCTGTAAAGCTCTTTGTTTTTTTTTTCTTGAGACTCTGTAAAGCTCTTTGTTCCCAGGGTGTATCTGATACTAATTCCTATTGGAGTTCTTGTCTAAAATTTTTGCTCCCACAAGATTCGGTAGCATAATCTTCCAGAGCTGGTATCCAAGTTTTTTGCCCAGTGATTTCTTTTGACTGAGTTAATTACTCTGCACAGCTTTTTCTTGATGTATTTTTTTATTACTGTGCCTTCTCACGTGTATCTTGTGTGCTTTAAATGTTGCAGCAGTTTCCTATGCTCTCCCTGCTAGACAAGGGTTATCCAGTAGGAAACGCCTTAAGTGCTTAATTTCAATATGTTCCATAGAAAATCCGAGTCCAGGACTACAGGTATGTGTTTCGATCTCCAGATCTAATCTGAACCATTTTATTAAATAGCTTCTCTAACTGATATCATTTACTTATCATTGCTTTTCTGAATTCTTGTGCAGGACAGACGTGTGTACTGAGGTAGCTGCTGCAAGTGTCATGAAGGGATCTAAATCAACGATCCTAGGTTGGTTGGGACGTGGCTACAGCGTTGCTTACTTGTTCTTATGCAGGCGTGCTCTGCACATTTCTTGAACGGCAGAACCCTAGATGGTGCATAAGGCCACTGTACGGGGCTTGTGGTCCGCCACCTGCCTGGGCTGGGTGGTGATGGTGGGGTGGGCACGGGAGGATTGATGGAACACCTAAAAATGGAGAGCACTTGTATTGAATGAGCAGGCTTAAGCTCACTGTAGCACATTATGAAATATTACATGTCTGCCCTGCATGAGCCATTCAGTTCAGTCAACTCTTGCTACACTGATTACACAGTAAATTACTTAGTGTGGCGAGTTGTTAGGCTTGCGTAGTTCTGTTGTGCAGGCAGGCATGGGCAGCTGTAATAAATCTGCACAAGTACAGCAAGCTGTGGCCCGAGGTGGGGGATCATCCTGTGGTAGGCTCTTATGATCTCTATATATCAGGTAAAGATCAGGAAAGCCGAGTGAACAGTTGATGGGAAGGAGTTGGACAGTGCGCAGGTATATTGATTTTGCTACGCTGTGAGAAGGCATGTATGTTTATTTTTTGAGTATGTTGGGGCCATCCACAATTCCGTTGCATCATTTATGGAAACCATTGAGACGACGATGAATTTCTTAGACACAATATGCTCATAGTCACAGGGTACAGCAAGGTATGGTGTGGCAAACTTGCTCTGAGTCTCTGCAGGTTGACGCGGAGACTTTACACTATCTCAGAGGCCAGATCTGAGGTGGACCGACCACTCGTAGCCACGGCATGGGATGATGGGAATAAAGTGGATGTTCAGTCTCACGATGGTTCCTTGGATCGTCGAGGGGCTGTTTTGTTCGTTAGACCGGATTTTAGTCTCTGTTCCACATATGTATGGAGTATTAAATATAGACTAAAAAAATAACTAATTACACAGATTGCGACTAATTTGCGAGACGAATTTTTTAAGCCTAATTAGTCCATGATTTGATAATGTGGTGCTACAGTAAATATGTGCTAATGATGTATTAATTAGGCTTAATAGATTCATCTCGTAAATTAGTCTACTCTTGTGTAATTAGTTTTTTAATTAGCTTATATTTAGTCCTCTTAGGTAGCATCCAAACGTCCAATGTGACACGGACTAAACTTTAGTCCCTGGATCCAAACACGCCAGACTTATATATTGACTGGGGTCTCGTTTAGATTGGGGTTAGGAATCAGTACTTGGCGCTGTAGCATTTTCGTTTGTATTTGACAATTATTGTCCAATCATGGCCTAGCTAGGCTCAAAAGATTCGTCTCGTAATTTACAATCAAACTGTGTAATTAGTTATTTTTTTATCTACATTTAATACTCTATGCATGTGTCCAAAGATTTAATGTGATGAAGAAATAGTGAAAAAACTTACCATCTAAACAAAGACCTGGGTTCTTTTCGTAGGATTAGTACTGAGATGGAAGCATCGAGCATGCAAGACGTCAAAAACTCCTCTTCAGTTCTGGTACTATTTGAGTGATTCGTAATCCTGCATTTTCATATACGATTCAATTTTCATTGTATATTATTATATAGTTTTATTTCTTGCAGGAGTGCACGGGGTAAGAGTAATAACAAGAACAAAAAAGGGGAGGAATGGACCAAAAAGCGGAGAAGAAAAGGTACAAGCTCCACAAATCGGGTCATGTCACTTTCTGTTCAGGGATTACAACTGAAACGACTAACCATTTATATCATAATTACACACAGGCCGGGCAAGGATTTTTCTCGGCCTTCAATATGAAAACCTGAGAACGAGTCGAAAAAATAATGAACAAACAAAAAAGGTAAATGTAATTAAGTACTCTTCACATTTCTCTCGAGCTCGTCTGCCCTTACACTTCCTTCCTGTAGCCTCCATCAGGAAACTCTCGTTGTTGCTTGTTGGCAGCCATCTTCTTCTTCTACGAAGACCCATCCTTTTGTTAACCTGATTATGAGGTGCGTGGTGTTCTTAACACTCCTTGTGGCTTCTTCACCATCCTATAAATTACCCAGCAAATCTCACCGTTTCCTGTCCCATATCTCCTCCAGCTCCCTGGCCAGGTCCTTCTGGCGTCGGACGACAATGGTGACGTGGTCCTTGCCGTCGATGACCTTGACCTGGGCGCGCGGGATCTTGGACTTGACCGCGTAGCTGCACTGCACGGGGAGGAGCTCGTCGTCGCTGCCGTGGTAGACGGTGACATCGCAGGTGAGCTGGTCCCTGACCACCTCGAGGCACCTGTCGATCTTGCCGGCGCTGCCGCAGATGATGTTGTGGAGGGTGTGCCACGACGCGATGTGGGTGTGGCAGAAGAAGCCGTCCATGAGGTAGGTCCGCACCCTGCCCGTAGGATGGAGCACGACGAATGGTTGGTTAGCCAAAAATAACCGTATCTCTCAAACAGTCAAACCAAACCATGCTGTGCTTGATTTAGTTGCTGGTTGGAGTACATCATATTCTTGTCCATGCACATGCACCCCGCTGGCTACATCTGAGTATACAGAGAGATAAACTGTATCCACTCCTTGCTTGAAGCGAGAGTATTGGGCAATTAATGTCCATTTTCCTTTTATGCTTACGCTGCTAAATAAGCTTGATCGTTTCTGTGGTTTATAAGTCAGCTGATGCTGTTTTGTTGTGAGAGAAAAACACTATATCATAGACCGATAAGCATGGCTGATAAGATCAAGTGAACAGAGTGCTTACCTTTAGCCACCTTTTCGTGAAAAACACGATATTTCTGTTTTTTTTTTCCTACGAAAGTAAGTTGATCTCTCTCTCCAGCATATGTTGTGAAGCGTTCAAACCATTGAAGGAAGAAATATAAACATTCTTAAACCATACTCGTACCAATTTAACAGAAATTTCGTAGAAAAAAAGTTGAGGGCTGCAAGAAACGTAATAAAATTCCGCCCCAAAAATGTTTCTGCAAAACTTATGCTGTCTTGCCTGGCCTGAGTCTTCACTGAGGCTATGACAGTGCCTCTATTTTAAATTTTATAAGCTGTTTTAGTTTAGTTCTAAATCAAACCTATCTAGGTTGATCGAGCTTATAGAAAAAAATATATTACCATCTACAATATCAAACAAACGCACTGTCCAAATATATTCTATGATGTCTGTAATGATCATGTTTTGAATATAATTTTTTATAAATAGAAGTTTGTATACATTTTTTTATAAATAAATTTGATCAAAACTAGATTTTTTTACTTATGATAAAATTAAGAACGAGTTGCAATTTGAAACGGTCCAAGAACATCACTAGGAAATTCAGGGAAATCAGCCGAGTAGCTGGGGCAGTAGGTTGGTCAGTGGCTGGCCATGCGGGCATGCCACACGGCACGGGCAGTGGATCGGCAGATGGCCCGCCGGCCCTCCACCAAAGCATCCCAACGGCTGACCGCGGTCAACTGGTTCCTATGCACCCTATTAACTGCCATTGATCACATCGACGCAGCGGTGCAGGCTGGGCCCCGCCGGACCTCCTAAATGCTGCAGTACGAAGAGAATGGAGTGGACAGTCGAGTACCCTGAGTGAGATCCTATTGATGTGATGATCTCCTCCTTTACGAGCTTGATTAGCAGTAATAAATTCCGTTGGTTTGTGCAAATCAAACCGAACCAATGGAAGATGGCCATGCGGATGCAAAGAAAAATGCCGTTGAGCCGGTCGTCGGCTCGTCGGTCGCTGACCTAATTTCACCTTGCAGATGTGCACTGAATTGGATGGATTTGCGTTTTTTAATTTGCCTTCGATCATTCACGTAAGTGATGGCGAGTGACGTACCTGTAGAGTGTGAAGACGCGGAAGGCGAGCTCCCAGAGGCGGTGGTGCTTGCAGAGCACGATGCTGACGGTGCGGCTGAGGTGCTCGTACCAGCACGCCACGGAGGCGCCGAACGCGATGGGCGGCCACACCCGGCGCGGCGCCACCGTCCGCAGCACGTACCGCGTGCCGACCTCCCCGCGCGGCACCGGGAAGTAGGGCGGCGCGACGAGCGTGAGGGACCTGACCGCGGCGGGGTGCCTGACGGCGAGCGCGAGCGCGAGGATGGAGCCCAGCGAGTGCGCCACGATGTGGAAGGACTTGACCCCGTGGCGCTCGATCACGGACCGCTCGATCATCTCCACGTGCTCCCGCAGCGTGTACAGCGAGTCCGCCGGCTTGGGGCTGCGCCCGAACCCCAGCAGGTCCACGGCGAACAGCCGCCGCCGGGACCGCGCCGCGGGGCTCACGTGCGGGAGCACCGTCTCCGTCCAGAACCCCGACGACGAGATGAACCCGTGGATGAACAGCACGTCCTCCTCCGTCGACGCTGCGAGGCATGGAGTGTGTGTGGGTTAATGCTTAGTAAATGGTGGTGCCTGCTGCTAATGACGGGAGAGCGGGCGGGCGTACCTTGCGGCGGCGCCTCGACGTGGACGAAGAGGCGGTCCGTGTCGGCCGGGTTGCAGTTGGCGCAGTGGCAGTCGGACCACCGCGGCGACGGGTACGGCCTGTGCTTGCCGTCGCCGATGCCGCCGCCGACCTTGCCCCGCAGCATCTGCACGATGGCGGAGTGCACGGTGACCCCCGGCGCCGCGCGCCGCTGGGAGGAGGACGCCGATGCCGACGCCGCCGCGGCGCACGCGAGCACGGAGGGCCGCGTGTAGAGCGTGTCGGAGATGTCCTCGAGGTGCAGCCTGGTGGCGGACAGCATGCTGACCACCTTGGAGCCTCCCCGCTCCGACACGACGATCTTCCCCGTGGCCGCCGACGCCGGGGACGACGCCGAGCGCGACGAGCAGTAGCAGGGCCGCCACGCGCCCTCCACCACGTAGTCCGCCACCTTGTACACCACGCACAGCAGCACCTCCAGCGCGTCCAGCAGCAGGAACACCACGAAGCTCACGGCCTCGTTCGCCGCACGGCCGGCGGACGCCAATGCCGACCGCGCCGCCGCGGCGCCCATGTCAACAACGACGCCGGCCACGCCGAACGACCACCGAGGCCCGCCAGGAACGAAGGCTCTAGCAGCAACGCAGGGAGGGAGGGAGGGAAGGTGGTGGTGGACTGGTGCCTGGTGGTAAAGAAGGGAAGCAGAGGATGCAGCGAGCGGTGAATTGAAGGTGCTGTGGCATTAAAGCTCAGGAGTTGGTGGTAGTTGAACTGACACGGCCAACTGGTGCGCGCGAGGCTTGGGCTCGGGCCTCTGGAGCAACCGAGCCCATGTTTAGTCCATCGAAATCCAAAATTTGGCACTACATAAAAAGAAGATTCTTCGTCGTATAAAACTTATGGTATATGTATGGAGTACTAAATATAGATAAAATCAAAAACTATTTACACAGTTTAGTTGAATTTTGCGAGATGAATCTTTTAAGCCTAATTAGTCAATATTTGGACAATAATTCATAAATACAAACGAAATTACTACAGTTCACCGTCACATCAAACATTATGCAAATACCGAATCGACAGCAAACTAAACGCGGCCCAAGTGAAGTAGTAGGCGCATGCAGGCAGGCAGGCAGCCAAGGCCGTGTTTAGTTGGACCCCAAAGTCTAAAAAGTTGTTACAGTATTTGTCACATTGAATGTTTGCGGCCCGTATATGGAGTATTAAATGTAGACGAAAATAAAAACTAATTGTACAGTTTGGCGGGAAATTGCGAGACAAACGTTTTGAGTCTAATTAGTCCATGTTTGAACACTATTTACCAAATAAAAACAAACATACTACAGTAGCTCCAAAATCCAAATTCAGCCAACTAAAAAGGGCTAAGTAGGAGTAAGCTCTGCTCAGCGCCTGCACCTGTCGGAGGCCATTCATAGGCCATGCATTATCTGTTGGTGCCTGCCTGCCTGGCAGTAAAATAAAAGAAAAGTTAAGGTGAAATCCTTCTGTCCAGAGAAGAATACAAATACAAATTGTATGCTAGCAGAAGTAATTTACGTTTAACCAAATTTCTAATAAATATTATTCATATTTATAGTTTCAAAATAATTTATTATAAAAATATATTTGGTAATTAATCTAATAATATTTATTTGGGATATAAATATTGATACTTTTTATCTATAATATAATTAATCGAACATAGGATACTAAATCATGACTACTACCATTGTTTCACTTTGGGACCTTTCACTTTCACCCATGGGAGGTGTACTACTGTAAGACCCTATTTGGGACAGTGTTTGCTTAGCTTCTGAACCCAATAAGCAAATAATCCCGCACAAACGCCCTACGATCTGAGCCTGGTCGCGAACGCGCTTCTGCGATCTCCGGTCACCCGTAACGTATCCGAAATCGCGAGCAAGGCCTCGCTTTTCTGAAATCGCGAAGGCTTTTCCTCTCCCTGCCCCTCCCTCAAGACCCGAGCGGTCCCGTGCTCGCTCCCTCCCCGGCGCCGACTGCCTCTCCGCCGCCGCCTCCCATTCCCCTCCGGCCCGGCCCTCCCTCCTCTCACCAGATCCGCCGCCGTTTCCCATTCCCCAACGCCGGGCCTCCCCTCCCCCTCCGCCGGTGCTCCAGCCAGTGCGCCGGCTCCCCTCCCCTCCCCCTCCGCCGGTGCTCCAGTCGGTGCGCCGGCGGCCCTCCCATTCCCTTCTTCGGATCTACAGCAAGGGCGCTGGCTCCCCTCCCCTCCCCTCCGCCCGAGGTCCAGCTAGGCGCCGGCTTCCCTTCCCTCCCCTCCGACGTTTCTGCAACAAGGGCTCCGGATCTCCGACCTCCACCGCCTGCTGCCCACCCATCCCCACCGCCGGCTGCCGTCGGGCGAAGGGGTACATAGGTCAATTTACATCCAGGACAGATAATCTACCAGAAATAATCAGGACAGCCAAACGCCCAGCTTATTCAGATAGCAGATTCTCCGGATCGTGACTTATTAGATAAGCCTATTCAACATATAAGCTAGACTCAGAAAAGCTGAAACAAACTGGGTCTAACTTGTAATTGAGATTCTTTATAGTACAACACTCCTTTTTCCTCCTTGAAATTGGAGGCCAGGTCCAACTGTCCAAGAAAAAACAACGAGACAGCGAAAGAACAAGCGCAGCATTTTTGTGAGCCAGCCCATTGTTGCTGGCGTCGCCGTTGACGCTTGTGCGCCCTGATCGGCAGTCACGAGGGCGCAGCAACAACAGCATCTGCCTAGGTTCCCCATCGTACAGGACTCTTTCAATCAAGGTAGTAAAACATTCAGTACAGTATATACTCCATCTACTGCTCGGTGTCCACATGGATACAGATGAAAGAACTAGTATGGTGTTTCTTTGTGTGGCCACGTGTTCTGAATTTCTGACGGTATTCACACGTCCGCTCCCCCAAATAATCCATGGTCGAAAGTATTATGGATTGGTTTGGTGTGAGAGAAAAATATTGTTGAAACCGTGGATTATAAGTTAGATACGAGCAAATAAGCCGAAACGAATAGGCTAACTAGTGTTTTTCTCTCATAGCATTTTAGTATAAACGTCAACCTAAGCCAAATTTCGGCGAAACAAACAGGAGCAGGCTGCTCCATCTGTCTAGTGCTCGATCGGTGTCCCAAGGCCCCAGCTAGCTGCATGCAGGCTGCTTTCATCGCAGACAAGCCGGTGCGGCGGAGTGCACCACCGCGGCTAGGCCTCGGCAACAGAATCTCGCCGCGTGTGCATTTCTGTTTTCTCGGGATATACGGGCTCCAAATACGGTGCTCAGCCTCGGGTACACGACTGGAGGTGGAGGCGAAGATCTCAGCCACACCACAATGCATAGACGCCCGTTTCGGCAGCGTACATTTCCTGAGGCGAATTTTGTCAGCGTACATGGCCGAGCATTTGCAGCGTTCTACGTACGCACATGGTTGTGCAGTGTGTAGTGTGTACACGTCTGGCTTTCTGGCACGGTAGAATAGCTATTTTGGTCATTTAACTATTACTCGATGCTCAGTTTCGTTCATTAACTTTTAAAACGGCTGTTTTAATTCTCAAACTCTACTTTTAGATTCAATTTCTTGCTAGAACTACGAAGATAATCGTTTTAATCCTCAAACTTTGCATTTTGGGCTCAATTTCATTTTATAAACTATCAAAGTGTATTTTGTTCTTCAAACTTTTATTTTCAACTCAACTTTGTCTACGTTGTACGTGGAGCGCTGCATTGTTGCACATGGTTAACTTCAACGCCATCAATGGTTGGAGATAAAAAAATAATATTCATCCAGAAACTCTTTCAAGCTGTTATTTTTAGTGTTACCTTATAATGGTACCATTTATATATATCCGACTAAATGATATTTGCGGGAGCAATTACAGTTGCATCGAACACCATTTATTCTTTATGAATACATGGATATATTGAAACAATAGCAGATCTATAATTTTGATAATTTATAGATGAAATTGTGTCTAAAATATAAAGTTTTCTTTTTGAATAGACAAAATTGAGTTGAAAATAAAAGTTAAATGCACTTTGATAGTTTATGGATGAAATTGAGTCTAAAATGTAAAATTTAAGGGCCGAAACGATTATCTTCATAGTTGTAGAATAAAATTAAGCCTAAAACCAAAGTTTAAAGATCTAAACAGTTGTTATAAAAGTTTAGAGATAAACTTAAACCTGGACTAATAGTTAAGGGACCTGGCACGATGCACGTGAGGGGGAGGGAGTGTGTGCGGTGTAGTAAATGTATGTTGTACCTGCTGGACCGGAGGATCCTGCTAGTACGAGACACTTGTTCGCCTAGGCGCGTCTAGCACGTTCCTGCTTGCACTAGTCAATCAATAATATCCGATTCTTCCATATCCGAAAAATTCGTGCCGCTGTGCTCCAAAAGCTGAAAAAGCCCCGTTCACTTCAACAAAAAAACAAATTAAAATTATGTTCAGGCTAATTTGTTGTAAGAGACCAACACTATTTCAACTGAAAAAACAAACTGAAAAAGACGGATTATAAGAGAAACGAATATGACCTACAAAACTTTTCCGTGTAGACACGTGTACCTACGTAAACTCGTAAAGACATTATGTACATGTTTACTATAGAGTAAGTACTTTTCTGTTTCAGTAATGGAACGAACTCTCCATAATCTGGACAAAACCTTATGTACATGAGCTACTAGCTCACCGCCAGGAGTTAAAAGAAGGGGAACCTGAAACAACCAGAGATTGACCGGACGCAACGAGCGCTGAATCTAGCATAGATAGATCACCACCATCTCCGCTGATGTTGGGCGCATGTGGAGCGAGATTAGAGTACCAACCGGTACGGACTAAGGACACGGTGATCTTACGTGATTTTACACTTGTTTAGTAGGTGAGCTAAGGCGGGAGGAAAGCTGAGACGAGCGGCCCGTGTAGGTGAGCCGGAGCCGGAATCCAGAGGCCCTGAACATTGTTTATTGGGAACTTCGGCGACTCTCAGAGTCTCAGATCAAACTGTTTCTAGATTTAGGTAGGGGTTGCCTCCCTTTGCCATACAGCGAAAGAAAGTTGGTGCAGGAGTCACCGGCTGAAAGAGATGGATGGCATTGGTGAGCTGACTGTCCAGCATGTGCAGTATTATACTGCACCGCGAGGATCTGTATGTAGAGTGATTAGTGATAGTTGTGGGAGTTAGAAAAATAGAGTGAGTGAGATGGTCTAATATACATGGAAAAATTCGCGTGATTCGTGTGTGTGTGTGTGTGTGTGTGCGTGCAAGGCAGCAGGAGTTTTTGTCATTTTCAATTTGGGAATTGACGAATTGCTGCCTGTGGGTGAGCAGCATCGAGCCAACCAGTGGCGGAAGACGAAATAAAATTAAGGTACGGCGAAGTCAGTAACGCCAACCGGCAACACATGGCATAATGGTTTCATGTAATAGGATTTGTTGTGAAAATATTTTCTTGGTAATAGTAATTCAACAAATTTATTTTCACTTCGTGAGCATAGTAATAGTGAGCTATATTTGCAACACCAAACCAACATCCAACTGTCGGATGGAGAGGGTAAATAAATACTCAAATTGATGTGTGCCTTTCTGTGTGCTTTTGCAATCTTCTTAAAATCTATTTACGTAATGCTCGAACGGTTGCATTCACGGGCCGCGGCACTAGCTCAACAGCCCAACTGACGTATTCCCTTGTCCACTTGTCTCTAATTAACCTTATCTTGCCGCTCTATTCTCCAAAAGGCTCTCCACCGCAGTGCGGCAAAATCGTGCTCCACCGCGACCATGCTCCGCAGCGCCGCAACTGTGGGGTTCCTCCGTCTGGCCGCCGGCCTCGCCAGTGCCCCCTGGAGTCCGTAATCCATGGTGCCTCGAGGCCAGCCGCCGCCCCATCGCGCCCCCTGGCCGGTCCGCGCCAACGCTAATGTCCCCTGGCCGGTCCGCCGACGACACGAAACTCCATCGCCGGGCTCGAAGAAACGAAGGGCGGCTCCGATCCGGCCGTCGCCCCATCGCGCCCCTTAGCTGATCCCCAGCTGCCCCCTGCCCGGTCCGCTCCAAGGCTGCGGTGTCCCTTGGCCGGTCCGCCGACAACGCAAAGGTCCATCGCCTGGCTCGAAGAAACGGAGGGCAGCTCTACTCCGGTCACCGCGCTCGATGACTATTGCGCCCTCTGGCCGGTCGCTCCGCGCCACCGGCGAGCTCTAGACCGATGAACTTCACACGCCGACGAACCTCCATTCCTCCCAAGCAACAAAGAGATGTTGCGCTGAAAAAGCGCATGTTGCAAACGTACATTTCAAATGTTTTAGAGATATATTGTAAGTGTTTCATTCGAGATGGTGTAAAAGTAGATCGGGATATTGCATTTGTTGCAATGGTTTGTACACGTATGTCGCAAGCGTCTCTTCTCAATGTTTGATCTGTTTTTCAGACTTATCTTACAAGTGTGTTTATCTGAATATTGTATACGTTTCACACATATGTTGCAAGTGTTTTATCTGGATATTGCGTATGTTTTGCTATGGGTTTCAATTGTTTTTCATGTGTTTTTTTGCAAGTGTTCCATTTGTCTTCTTTTGTATATTGCAAGTGTTGCATATGGATGTTTCAAAAGTTGATTTGATGTTGCACATGTTGCTATGGCTATACACATGTTTCAAGTTTTCATCTGTTTTAAACGTATGTTGTAAGTGTTTTATTTGGATGCTCGAAAAGTAGATCTTAGAGAAGCACATGTTGTTGCTGCTAGTGCGCCATCGTAGGTCACCGCGCTGTCGTGGGTCACTGCACGAGCCCGGGGTGGTCCCCACGCATGCGTGGGCCCATGTGGCCTCTAGAGCGGGATGGGTGCATCAGGTGCGGGTTCAGGAGCACCGTCCGATGCTAGCGTCCCGGATCGGACGCATACGTATTTTTTTTCGTTGAGGATATATAAGCAATGCGCGCGACTTGTCTTTGATAAACTTGCTTACACCTTTTCCTACTAAATTTTAGTTTAGGGGACAAATGATATTTATATTGACAAAGATAAACATGGAAACAAAAGATGTTACAACACGTTGTTCTCCTTTTTTTAGCTAAGTTATTACAGCACGTTGTTGAATGGACGCATCGTGACATGCAATGTCAGAGGAGCCGGTTCCAGGCTATATCAATTATCACCTATCAGACGGACTGGGAGGCGCTGCCAACGCTGGCCAACTGGCCCATTAAGCGATCAATACGAGCGGCCCAATAGAAAGACAAAGCCCAAAGAGTAAAACGATTCGCCAGCTGCCCAAGCTCAGCTCAGTGTCGTCTTCTTCCTTGTGTTTAGATTCTATCTTCCAACAAATCCATTTGACGACGGTCCTGATGATCAATGATCATTTTACTGTTGGAGAAATACAGCATGCTCAACCGTCGTTGGCATGTACGATGAATTCCTAGACCCACTGCAGTAATCGTGCCCAATTTATTAGGATCTACAACCGGAACAGTTCGTTGTGAATTTGTAAGTATCCTTCCATTCCTTTTCAGATAATAATTTCAGTGCTCAGCTGCTACAGCACAAGGAAAGAGGCAACAGTGAATTTCACAGCATGTTCAGTTTTAGATTCTGACCCACACCCACCCCTCTCAGATGAAAGTTGACATTTGGCCAGATAAGCCTGAAACGTCCTGATCATCCGGCTCACCATCACCCAAATGTTTCAGACAAGAGAACGAGTGGTTTTGGTTGAGACCATCCAAATTTTCCTTCGTCACCTGGCAGTTGCCACGCCTGCACTCCATCTCCATTTCGTGGATGCAACTAGGCAAGCCCGTGTGCGCAAACGCCCCTATCCCTTTCATCTCCTTGGTAGTGTTTCCATGTTGAGTATTACCAAAAATTCCATCCCGTTCTTCAGATGTGCTGGACCTGATGGCTGATGTCAGAAGAATTGGTGAGCTCAGGCATCTTTGTTGTTTCCTCTGTGAAGATTGTAGCAGCAGGCATGCGAGTTGTACTAAATTATACTACTAAACCTTGCTGCGGCAAGCCCCTGATTTTGGCGATTAAACTACGGCTATGGATCAATGATACTCTAATGTAAAATATGAGTAATTTAAGCCAGAGCATTCAGCTGTTTGATACTTATGAGTGAGCGGTTTTGCTGAAAACTTCGGGCGAACCTGCCTGTGGAATACTGGAATGTGAGTCTTGCTCCAAATATTGTACTGGTTCCATGACATCCAATATGTTTGGCCACTGTATGATGTAATTTTAAATTTCAAGTGAAAGGTAGTAGAGGTGTGGGACGATGGGTAGTAGGTTTGCTTATCTACGAGACTGATGACTATGAGAGAGTGAGAGTGAGATGTGTGAGTTGTCGGCTTGGCACTCTGTTCCTAATTGCTATCTTTTAGCATATCTGTGTGTGTGTGTTTTCTCTGTCTTGATTTGAAACTTGCAATTCTTGTGTTCAACTTGTCGTTGACCAAGCCTTAGGAGCTAGTGAAAAACATTTCTTGGTTGGCATTATGTGGCGTATCAAGATTCTGTTTCTCCGATAATTATTCAATTTTGTTGGGCGGGCTGTGAATATCATGACCTCTAAGACGAAGAGCATGAGCATGGCATGACGGCGAACAAGGAAAAAGGCATACGCTGAGTAGTTTTGTTAGGTATATAATATTAGACAATAAATCCTCGTTGATCCTAACAGTAAACAGAGGGGGAATAGCTAAATAAAAGAATTAACACACAGGCGTTTTAAATCATGTCTACGGTTTGCGGTTTATATAATATCGCGAACAAAGTTAACAGTGATTTTGAACATGCGACAAATTGCTCATATTGCGGATATACATCAATTCTGTTGAAAAAATAATACGGACAGGTCCCTAGCATGTAGTCATAGGCCCTCGCAAAAAAGAATATAGTCATAGGCCCCACCTGTCAGTATAACTATGGATATTGTTTTCCATGTCATTCATGATGCTGCGATTGAGGAAGCGTCAATCGGAAATAACATATTAAGTGAGTTATAGCACATTAGACCAGTCTCTATGGGGTTTAATGAGAGTTTGATGAGCACTAAATAAACTAGTGTGATACAGTATTAATGAAGAGAAATAATAAGCTAAAAGTTTTATGTGATAAAATGAGTTTCACAAGGATAAAACTTGTCTGTACTATTTTCAACACAGGAGAAGCCTTCGAAATAGTGACATTAAATGCCCACTGAGACTGACCTTAAGTGAGCTCACATATATTCAGAAAAACATGCACCAATAACTAATACTCTAAAATCCAAAATTGTAGCTACAAATCATCATTACAGCTTTATACCAGAAAGCAAAGTTTCACTTACTCCTCCGTCCAGAAAAAGAGTCTAGGTTCAAAGCTAGAATTGTGTTTTTTTCTAGACGCGGAGGAGTACATATATACCGCGTCATACGTGTTATCATTCTATATATATACAGTAATACAGACACGCTGCGCATCCTCCATGTCCATGGCAACATCCATGGCCGCCACAAGAGTAGGCGCTATGCATGCTGCAGCCCAAAACTCGATGCAGTAGAGGTGAAATCGGTACACTTTTTCTTCTTACACGTCACAAAATGCACGGTTAAACGGTACCTTGATCTTTTTAGATCGTCCGTGCCATAAGGTGTACGCATATATACATGCACACAGGCACACAGCTACTAGTAATTAACCGGGCAAGCTTAGCTTAATTACCTCATCATGCAGCAGCCAGAACCAGAATGGTTTAGCAGATGGTGCAGGAGTTGGGGTTCTCCTCCATGCTCTGCACGTAGTAGTGGGCGGGGGTGATCATGTGCGGGTACGGGTAGGGGTAGTACGCCCGGTACTGGTTCATCAGCTCGGCGAGGACCTGCTGCTCCGTCGGCGGCGCCGCCTTCTTGCCGTCGCCGTCCTTCTTCTTGTCCCCCTCGCCGTCTTCCTTCTTCTCCCCCTCGCCTTCCTTCTTTGCCTCGCCGCCGTCCTTCTTCTCCTCGCCGCCGTCCTTCTTCTCCTCTTCTTTCTTCTCGGGCTCCTTGGCCGGGCCGACGGAGTCGATGGTCGCTGACCACGAGGCCTTGCGCAGCTTGCTCACCACGTTCACCGGGTCCACCATGCCGATCACCGTCATCTTGTGCGACGCCATGTCCACGGATATCTCGTCGATGCCTGCACACAGCACAACCAGCAGGGCACGGTTGTTAGGCGTCGCTGCTCTCCTAGACGCACGATCAGAAACAGCAGAGAGGAAGAAGATGCCATGATTACCGGTGAGCGCCGAGACAGCCTTCATGGCCTTCTGCTTGTCCTTGTTGTCGTGCAGGTGCAGCTTCACCACGATTTTCTGCATCCAAAGTCCAACAGGGAAGCAGAATGCAAAAGCAGAGCCCATAAGAGAAAAGCAAAAACGAATCATTAATTGGATTCCAAAGCAAGATCCCCCCCATGCCGCTGGAAAGGTGACCAACTTTGTGCACACGTAGGGCAAGAAGAAATCAGATCACGATCAATGCGAGCAGCACGAGCGCGCCTTACCTTCGACATCTCGCCGGTCGCCGGGGTGTGGTGCGAGCACTGGCCGGCGGCGCACCAGAGGAGGCCTGCTGCAGGCAAGGAGGAGGAGGATGGGGGTGGAGACTGGAGAGCAGGAGAGGAGGAATAATGGCGCGGAGAGGAGTAGGGGGGGTCAGACCGACATAAAAAGCAATGGTGGAGAGGGCGGAGGCAACACTAGAGTGAAGCTATAAATAAAGCAAGCATCAGCTGTGGCTGCTGGGTGTGTCACGTTTCAAACAGAGAAAGGAAAATAGGGAAAGGGTCTGGGCAGGGAAAGTTGGTGAGGAGCAAATCTTGGTTCTCTTCCACCCTGTTGGCTCTCTTTAGTTTTTTTAATTACACCCACTAGTTCTTTTCAAGAAAAATTACATAACATAAATACATAAGGGTTAGAAGTTATTGAATAAATTTAATACTTATAACTAGTCAAATTATTTATCTTTGCGTGCTCTCTTTTAATTTTCTAACACAAATGCACATAGAAACACTCCCTACGTTCAAAAATGGTAATCATATTTGACCAGAGAAAAAGTCAAACTCTATAGATTTTGACCAATAATTAGTTATATTCAGCCTGTTCGCTTGTTGGTTTCAGCCAGGCTTATCAGCCAGCCAATAGTGTTTTCCTCTTACAACAAACCAGCATCAGCCGAACTTATCAACCCAGAAACCAACCAGCGAACAGGCTCGTTATATTAAAGCTTGGAGCGTGCCATCGATTTTATATTATAATAGAAATTAATGGTAAAAATCAATTTTGTATGACCTTTTTTCTGGTCTAATACGATTACCCTTTTTAAACGGAGGGAGTACTTTTACATTATCTCTTATAATAGCACACGGGTAATTTCCATGTGGCTACGGTACATTTATCAAACACTATAGTTTTTGTTTCCTTTTGCATCACACATCAACGTGTCTTCAATATGTGGTTAGGTGAAATCTTAGCTTAAGTTATATGAGCTCTTATTACATCAAATGTATCGTCACATTGCGAGTCAGAATTTTTAGCTTTCAATTTTTGATCATATTAGTTTGGAAGAAGTCTATTTTGAGCAAGGAACTATCGTCCGAGTTCAGTTTTGGCCATCAAAGTCTTAACCTAGGTATCTTTGGCCATTGAACTATCAAAACAAGATAATTTTGGCCCTTGACTGGTTTCAAAAGTGGTTTCACCTATATCAATATTTATGATACGTCATTATTTTATAGTACATCTATTTTGTGTTATAATTATTAATATTTTCTGTAAATTTTATCAAATAGTACAGAGTTTGACTAAAGATGAGTTATACTCATTCTTTTCATGACGGAGAGGTAGTGCTATGCACCAACCAAATAGAACATTCAACCTTTTTTCATAGGCTACGTATAACCCAATATACTTTGATATGGTATCGGATACAGGACAGAGTTCAATACGAAGTGAGGCATTAAATGCAAGTGATGGAAAATGCTCTCTATGTTCTAAATTATAAGATGTATTGGTTTTTTTAGAAACATCTCTTTTTCTATATATCTAGACATAGTCTATATATAAGTCCATAAAAAGACTATGTATCTAGTCAAGTCAAAACATCTTATAATTTAAAATGGAGGAATTATATACCATCTTTGCCTAACAGTGTAAAGTTTCAGTGAACTGTTTTAACAAGTTGTCCTTGCGCACTTTGTTTCGATCTTAATCAAGCATTCCAGCGAAAACATTTGAGGTCTACTAAATTAGGTTTATCATGCTATTTTGGTTTATTCTAAAGACAGGTTACTTCGAACAGGGGAATAAATCAAACATTGAATATTTGAATTATTTTTCAATGAACTTGGTGGGCCTCAACACGAGCTAAACCTAGGCATCAGGACTTCTTGATGAGCATGATGCCAATGCTGTTTGCACACTGTTTTTCTGAACCTTTTTCCGCTGTCTCTCTCACCATATAGACTATAGTCCCTACCTTTTCTGACGTGGCATGATAACGCTGAGTTTTTTTTAGTGGAGCATTGTCTTTATTCATTCAACGAAATATAGTTACAAATGCCATCGGGAGGCTCAAAAACCAAACATGTCTACCTACCGATAAATTAACAGAACTTCTAGCTAGGAGATGTGCATCAAAATTTGAACTCTGCCATTCGAAGACGAAATCAATCCTTGAAAAGTTCTCCATTCTAGACTTTATTTCCAGGACGATGGCACCATACCTGCCCATCCCCTCACCCTAGATGCTTCGAACCGCGTTGGCACAATAACTGGCCAGCCTTGTTGCCTGCAAACCAAGGTCACTGGCCAGGACCAGCCCTTCACGGCAGGCTATCGCCTCGACCACCTCCACGTCAGTGTTTCCTTCCACTACTAGTGCCGAGGCTCCCAAGAAGTTGCCTCCCTCATCACGCGCCACATCAATTGATGCCGAACGCCTCGGATTCTTGGAGACTGGCGCATCCATGTTGATCTTGGCCAGCCTAGCTGGCGGTTTGATCCACCGAGGAGGCCGCGCCCCCTGAGTTGTCTCTGGCCGAGCCTATTTCTTCTCTGGCCGAACTTCCATGAGCTCGCCAATAAATCGCTCAACAAACATATGGGTCGACAGAGGGCTCTAAAAATAATTCTCATGTATCGCCTTGCTTCTTGCATACAAAATCACCCATAGCCAGACGACGACCCTTGTAAGATCATCATGCTTAAGCGATCGCATCACCTCTGCAAGCCAAGCCCGAGCGTCCAAGCATTGCACTTGGCATAAGAACTCGGTAATCTCCTCCCTTTCTAGGGCCCAAACACATCTAGCTAGGTTGCACTCCAGCAGCGCGTGCCTCCATGAATCATCCGCGCCTCATAAGGAACAACCCCTATCCGTAGCCATGTTCCTATGATGCCTGACATCACCCGTCGGAAGTGAGTGCCTAGCCAATCTCCACAGGAACACCCTGATCTTGGAAGGAACCTTGATCTTCCACAACTCGCTCCATTCCTTCTCCTATGATCCAGCTTCCGAATTACTCGGGGGCGATCCTCCTCCCAAGCTGAATTCATCTCCCGGCTTCGCACCAGCATGCGATAAGCCGACCTGACCGTGAATTCACCAGATTTCTCGTAGTGCCATGCCCAGAAATCTTCTTGCGGCATCATGCTGAGAGGAATACCCTCGATGATCTCCCAGTCCATCGGCGTCAAAAATTCCCTCAGCTTTTGACTATCCCAACACCGCGAAGTTGAGTTAATTAGCTCACTCACCAATCGTGGAGGGTTGGGTTTTGTTGCTCCAAGTGGTCGTAACAGGCCGTTTCTTGGGAGCCACTGCGTGTCCCAAATCCTCGTCGTCTCACCCAAACCGATCTTGCGGATCGGGCCTTATCGCAACATTTGAATACCGTCGACCACCGATCTCCATACCCTGGATGATGGAGATCCCACCTCCACATCCAGTAGATCACCTACCGGGAAATAAGTGGCCTTGAGGACCCATGCACTGAGTGAACTAGGATCATGCAAAAGCCGCCAAGCCTGGCGAGCCAACAAGGCTAGGTTAAATAACTCAATGTTTCTGAAGCCCAACCCTCCCATATGCTTCGGTTTTGACATGTCGTCCCAACCAACCCAACACGTTCTGCGCTTGCCCTCCTTGCTTCCTCGCCAAAAGTCACGGATGACACCATCAATATGCTTACACAACCCTCTCTGTAGTATAAAACATGACATAGAATATGTTGGAATGGCCTATGTAACTGCTTTATTAAGCACCTCCTTGCCACCTGCCGAGAGGCTCTGCTCCATCCATCCCTGAACCATCCTCCAGACTCTATCCTTCAAATAAGTGAAAGCTCCACTCACTGAAGAACCCACGTCTATAGGCATGCCCAGGTATTTCTCACTTAAGGCCTCATTCTGGACATTGAGAATTGTCTTAATCTCACTTCGCACCCCGGCGCTGCACCCCTTTGCAAAATGAATCGATGACTTGTCCAAGTTTATCTGCTATCCGGATGCACTGCAATATAAGTTTAGGACATTCCTCACCTCTTCCGAGTTTTCCCTATTCGCCTTGAAAAGCAGCATGCTATCATCAGCAAAGAGTAGGTGACTCACCATCAGAGAAGATAGAGCCACCCTTATGCCCATGAGACTCGATGACTGAACACTATAATTTAAAAGGCACGAAAGGCCCTCTGTTGCTAACAAGAAGAGATAGGGAGATATTGGATCTCCTTGACAAATACCCCTCATCGGTTTGAAAGCTTCCAATTTATGGCCGTTCAACAACACTGAGAATGAAACTGATTTTATCATTCTCATAAGCATCTCCACCCATCTATGATGAAAACCCAACTGGGTCATAATCCTCTTAAGGTAATCCCACTCCAGTCTATCATAAGCCTTCCGCATATCCAGCTTAAGAGCACAAAACATGTTCTCTTTGGCTCTCTTTTTCTTCATGTAGTGCAAGCACTCATAAGTTGTTACAATGTTATCTGTAATCAAGTGGCCAGGTATAAAAGCAGATTGCTCCTCTGAAATTACTTCAAGCAAAATAGCGCATAGCCGATTAGCCACCGTTTTAGAGGCTATTTTGTAAATCACATTGCATAGACTAATTGTCCAAAATTGTCCAAGCTCCTCCGGCCTTTCCACATTCAGAATTAGGACAATGCTCGTCTTGTTGATCAAGGCTGGGTCATCCTCCCCTCTCGACACCCTTAGCACCACCGCAGACACCTCCTCTCCACAGATATCCTAGTGCCTCTGAAAAAAGTGAGCCGGGTACCCATCCGGCCCTGGCGCCTTTGTTGGGAACATATGAAATAGAGCAGTCTTCACCTCATCGCTACTAAAAGACTTCAGCAGTAGGTCATTCATCACCCCGGTGACCTTCACCGGTACCTTATCTAGTAGCTGATCCATCTGCAACATCCCTTCTGACATATACATGTTTCTATAAAATTATGTCGTGAGATTAGCCATCTCATACTCATCTTCTGTAAAGCTCCCATCA